ATTCAAACTTATCCAGCCTCCATTCTGAATGAAGCCACACTCCTGGGTGCACAGCCATTGCTGATATCTGTCAACACAGCTCTGATGCCTGCTGTGTGACCTTTAACCTGGTAAACACTTTATTCCCACTTCATCAGAAGCAGCTGGCCTTTAGTTCCCGAGGACTCACTGTCACTGTGTGTCTGGGCCAGTAGTTAGAGACAGCTGTCAATCACACACTGGCTGACTTCAGACTGATTGAAAGGAACATGCAGTGCCTTGGAAAATGTTTCAGAAAGCAGCTAGTAACAAGGAGTCCTGCACCAACCAGGCCGTGTGCAAGCCGCCTCTCACTTCGGCTTATGATAACTGGCTTTAGACTATGAGTTTCACAGAACCTAGACTCTCTTGGGAAGATATTCTCAATGAGGGATTGTCTAGCTCAGGTAGTTTGTGGGCGTGTCTGTGGAGACTGCCTTAAGTTAGTTGTTGTGGGAAGCCAGTCAGCAGGACCGCTCTGCACTGCCTCTGGATCGGCTCCTGCCTCCAGGCTCCGGCCTTGAATTCCTGCCCTGACCCCCTGCATGATGGACTGTGAACTGTGAGATGAAACAAACCCTCTCCTCCCTGTGGTGGTTTGAATGAAAATGATCCCTACAGTCTCAAAGGGAGAGACATTAGGAGGAGTGGCCTTGTTGGAGGAAGTGTGTTTGGGGTTTCAGAAGCAGTGAGTGTGACTCTCCCTGCTTCCTAGGACCCAGCTGTAGAATAGAACTCCCGGCTTCTCTCCAGCACCATGTCTGCCTGTACAGCCCTATAAGACCCTCCATGATGATAATGGACGGAACTTCTGGGCTGTAAGCCAACCCCAATTAAATGTCTTCTTTTATAAGAGTTGCCGTGGTCATGGTGTCTCTTCACAGCAACAGAACCCCTAACTGAGACAATAGTTAACCTGGGCATGGTGGCAAAGGCCTTTAATCCCAGCCTTTTGGGACGCAGAAGCAGGTGGATCTCTGTTGAGTTCGAGGTCAGCCTGATCTACAAAGCAAGTTTCAAGACAGGCAAGGCTGTTACGCAGAGAAACCCCCTCTCAAAAAACAAAACAAAACAAAAACCCCGAAACCAAGAAGACACTAGTTAAAAGCAGAGAGAAATGAGTACACATATTATATTTTCTTGCTTGTTCAGCTGGATTTCTCCTCTCATCCTGTTCAGGACCCCCTGCCTATGGGTGGCGCTGCCCACAGTCAGCTGAGCCCTCCCACATCAATCATGAATCCTGAAAAGGCCCCGGTGGCATATCTACAGGCCAGCTTTACGGAGGCACCTCCTCAACTGAAGTTCGTCCTCCCAGATTGCATCCAGTTGGCAAGGAAACAAACAAAACCCCCAACCGGCCACAGCCCAACTAGGGCAGTTGTGGGCATGATGTGACCTTTCTGCATCAAGTCCCTGCCTCTATGATTTACTCCTAGCTTGCTTTTGGTCAGGGTTTCCCCAGAGCAGCCGCAGCAGCAAAGCAAACTAGACGAGGTCTCTCGCTGAAACGCGAGATCACTAAGTTCAGCTCGATTGCTTGTCCCACGAGTGTCCCCAGGGTCTGCCTATCTTGCCTCAGTGGTGCCGGGACAGTAGCCGTTGTGCCCAACTACTTTTTGTGGGTGCTGGGGAGCTGACCTCGGATTCTTCTGTCCCCACTTTCTCTTTTCCCACTGAGTCATCTCCCAGACCCACACCCCAACATCCCCCCCCCCCCAGGATGGCACCACCTTCCCACAGTTGCTCCATCCGAGAACTTCGGCCTCCCTTAGCCCTGCCCATGTCTCAGTATGTGGTCTTTTCGTTAAGCCCTTTTGTCCCTCAGAGAAGTAACTGCATTTATGGTTTTAAAAATATTTGATCAGTTACGCATTGAATAACTACTCAATAAGCATTGTACACTCCAAATGTATAGTTTAGCGGACTTTGACCAATGTCCACACTCATGTAATGACCACTGTCCTCAGGAGAGGGGTCTTACTTCACACTTGCGTTTCTACCTCTCAGAGGTAACTATGGTGTGGAGGGAAGTTTGGAAGCTTTTCCCAGGGAGACATCAACAGATACCTCTCCACCCCAGAGAGGACATTATTGACAGTCAAAGTTAAAGCGAAGTCCAAGTCTAGCTTGGTGAACCAGGGAGGTTATTTGGGCTTCTGTCTGGAGCGCGAGTCAGCCAAGCACAGCTGCACCCCAGAAAGGCCCACCCCAGCATGAGCGATGACCCCGGAGCTCCTGTTTGACTTGCAGGCAACTCCACTGAAGAAACTTCTCTCCCTAGCAATTGCTCCCTGTTCATACAATAGACACTAGGGGTGGGGCCTTGGGACTTCTGCAAGCTTCTTGGTTGGTTTAAGTTTCTGAAGCTTCTGGATCTCAGGATCCTTCCTCTCTCTGGAGGCTACAGCTCTGTTACCGGAGGCGGCTACCCAGGAAAACTGGCCTCTCATCTCCGATTTCTTTTTCCTTTTTTTTTTAACAAAAAATATTTATTTATTTACCTGTTCATTTATTTATTTATTTATTTACTTACTTACTTATGAGGCAGGGTCCTACTATATAGCCCTGACTGTCTTGGAGCTCACTCTATGGACCAGGCTGCCCTTGAACTCACCCCTCCCGCCCTGATCCTTGAACCTTCTGGATGGAAGGTATGCACTGCCTAGGCGGTGACAATCAATGTCATAGTTTGTTCTTTTGAAAAGTCCTGCTTAGTTAAGTCAAATGCTAAAGGCTGAACAAGCGTTTGCTGCTAAACCATGAATGACTGTCACTAGCTAGGGAGCTAGGACACGGGCATGAGGAGAACGTGCTTTCTTTTCAGAGTATGGATTGGGATTGGAACCCATGTCTGGCTTAGGACAGAGAGCATTTTCTGTTGATGTCGTATTGCGGCTGAACCTGGAGCTTCGTGTGTGCTCGGCAAGCGTCCAGACCGTTAGCATGTGTTTTGTCCTCTCCTTGTCCCCTGGCATCCATTTGAACATGCTGCCGTTTGTCTGTCACTCACTGGAGATGCCTGCGCGGCTCTGGATGGTGCAAACGAGGGAGCTAGGATCTTTCTGAGGCTGTTGTTTTCCTTTGTTTTGGATATACACCGCAGTGTTTTCTGGGACACGAGGCAAGCATACACTCACGGGAGACAGCTGGTTTCCCCCAGTGCTTGCACAAATTATACCTCTAGAACATACCATTTCCCTGGAGCAGGACAGGCCAAGACAGACCTGGGCAAAGATAATGTTTAAAATGCCATCAGGGTTAGGTAGTCAGTTTCAAAATGACTTCTAGGATGTTAGTAGACACTGCCCTTGGATGGGTCTCTTGGTGTAGCTCACAGGCATCTTCTGAGCCCCTACTTCATTTTCTACACTAAACTGTCAATGTCCCCCCAGTCCAGACATGTGAAATCTCACTCCCTAGGTTGCCTTGCCAACTGCTGAACTGAACGTAGCTAAGTAAATTCATTTCCACTCACACGTGAATCATCGTCAGGTCCTTAAGCACCTGTGTTTTAAATGTGAAGGATAATCATCACTGCTAGCAGCTTTCGAGGAGATGTGCGATCTTTTCAGTCAAGTCTGAAAGTTACAAGAGGCTTGCAAGATGGTATTGGATAGGAAAGGCACTTGTGTTAGGACCTCATGATCTGAGTTCAATTCTCTGGACCGATATGGTGGAAGGAGACTCCTGCAAGTTGTCTTTTGATCTACACACACACACACACGTAAAAAAAGCAATGAAAATTATGGGAAGCCTTGGGCAATAGCAGCGCCTGTCTGTGGGGCTGTAGTTGGGAGGGCTGTGAGTTGAGGCCAACCTGGGCTACATAGTGAGTTCCAGTCTAGCCTTGGCTCATACAAATAATGTGAGCTGGAAAATGCTATCTGTCCTAAGTCAGACATGGGTTCAAATCCCAGTTCATACTTGGAAAAGAAAGCACATTCTCCCCGTGTCCGTGTCCTAGCTCACTAGCTAGTGACAGTTATTTATGGTTTAACAGCAAACTCTTGCTCGGCCTTTAGCATTTGACTTAACTAAGCAGGACTTTTCAAAAGAACAAACTATGATAACGTCATCGGCAGCCATTTTGTGGGCACCTAACCCGTTTGTTGACTGGTACATTAATACGGAAGGGATCTGCAAACTGCAGAGAGCCTCAGGCGTTCAACGTTGAACAATTCATTATTGATTGAATACTTGAGACGGGGGTCTTGCTATGTAGCCCATGCCGGCCCGGAACTGGCAGCAATTCTTCTGCCTCTGCCTCAGTCTCCAAAGTGCTAGGATTACAGGGATATGAGCCACCAGGCCAGGCAACAGAGCTGGACTCTCTCTAGGGAGCTGATGCTGGGGAGATAGGACCCCATGAACTGGAAGAGATCATCCGTTCCAGGTGGGACCAAGACTGTAGCTTCTCAGATCACCCCCTACCCACCCCAAACGTGGGAATTCCACGCGCTCCGGAGGTCACCCAGATCTGACTCAGAAGTGAGTGGCAACGTGTTGAGGAATGCCAGGGTGAGGTAGCTAACGCCCTTGAAGGAAACATTGCTTAAATTAGATGAGAGCCCTCTACCTACATATACCGAGTGTGCTGGGATTACAAGCGATTGCCACCACTCCTGTTTTTCAGCCGTTCTGGGGACTAGAACCCAGGGCTCAGTGCCTGCCTGGGCCCTGCCAACTGAACCACATCCTCAGTCCCAAGATGGCCTTTTCCTAACGGATCAGAGCTTGCCGTCCCGAGGACTGAGGCTAGCAAATCAGCAGCTTCCCTTCTTCATTTAAAAAAAGATTTTGTTTAACGAAGGTTCTGTCTGTGAGTCCGCGCCCAGTCAAGACTTCGGGCCCTGCGTGGCGACCGTCCTCCCCTCGAGGGTACCCACTGCCCGCCCTCCGAGCCCTGGCCCTCCGCCCCGGCCGCGCCCTGGGCGCAGCCCCTTTTGGCACCGCGGCTCCCAGGTGCCCGGCGCAAAGGCGGAGCCGGACTGCAGCCGCCTGGGTGGCGCCACCGAGACCCCCGGGTGTTCGCAGGTCCCGGCGCTCCGGCTGCGACTCCCGCAGCATCCACGGCAGCGGCTCCAGCATCCCCGGGAACCCGAGACTCTCCGGTCGTGCACAACCAGCGGACGCCACCACCATGAGTGCGGGGCCGCGTTGGCCAGCACCCGGCAGCTTGCCTGCGCTCTGCGCCTCGCTGCTCTTGCTGGGTCTGCAGCCGCCACCCGTGCGCACCGAGGGTGAGTGTCCTCAGTCGCAGGGGTCCGGGTGCAGCCGGGAGGCCAGCCGGGCAGGAGGTGTAGCCTGGAACCGGCCACCCTGAGTCCCAGCATCGCCGGCTCCCACCTTTCCCCACCCTCCCCGCCGCCTGCTTCCTTGAGAGAGATCTCTAGAATGAAGTCACGTCTAGGCTGCCCTCGAACTTGCCCTGTTGGGATTGATTTTTCCATCTTCCCTCGGTTTCTCAGCGTCTGTAAGGTCGGTGCCCTTCCCGGAGACTGCGGTCAGAAAATATTCGCGTTGTCCAGGAAGATTTGAAAGATGAGTGGGGATTCTTGTCCCGGGCAAACAGGGAAGCAAGGCGTCCCGGTAGGAGGAACAGCTCGAGCTGAGTCGCTCAGGGGTGTTGGGGAACATGGGACCTACGATTTAAGAGTAAATAGGAAGGCGGAAGCCCAGCCGCCAGGTTGGGGTGGATGCTTGGGACAGACGGTGGAAAGCCAGGTAGCAGCCAGATGACAAGTTGGCCCACTTTGTTCTTTTGAACCCGAATTCAGCTTTAAATTTTTTAAGCATTTAGTATTTATTTATTTGCCTATGTGTTTATTTACTTTGTTTTTAAGTCTAAATTCAGCTTTAATTTAAAAAATTAGCTTGTGTGTGTGTGTATGTATGTATGTGAGTGTGTGTGTGTGTATGCTTATGCGTGCTTGCTGAGCTGAAGGATTCCCTAGTTCCCCACGCACTACGTGGGTTCCCTGGGGTAGAATTCAGGTCACCAGACTTGGCAGCAAGCACCTTTATCCACTGAGCCATGTTGCGGGCCCTTGAATTTGGCTTTTGATACTCTCCTTAAACTAGCAGGATTAGGGCCCTATGTCAATACAATTTCCGTTTGAAAAGCTAATTCAGCTGTATTTAGTTGTTGAAACAAAACCCCTCAGAACGTGGAGCTTGAGAGTTTGAAGGGAGGCGGCTGTCCTCAGCCCCAGAAGGTTTCTGGAAAGTTCACCCTTGGGACGACCTGGACCAATAGGGGAGAAAAGCCTTCAATCGATTTAGGGAGCTTTGCATACATTGAAATATAGTTATTTAAACCTGGTAAAGCATAGTGGTGACGCTAAAGATCAAGGAAAGAAAACCCTGGTACTTGAGGAAATGGTGAAAGGGACAATATGTCACTCGACACCGCAGGTGTGTGCTCCGAGTTGGCATGTATGTGCCATGTTTTAAGCAAGGACTTGGATTCTCGGTCAGCATCTTAGCCGTGCCTTCAGCAGTAAAAAGACACTGTTAACTCTAAAGGCTGTCAGTGGCCCCTCTAATTAATTACCAATTCGTTTATTTGAAGAGCTCTAAAAGCATTCTGCCACTGAATTCAGCCCCAATTTTGAAAAAAAAAAAAAAGATACGCTCCTTAAAAGTTACCATTTAAAAATGTGTAACTGCGGTTCTTAAAATATGCACATGTAAACATTTTGTTGTGCAAACGATGTTTGTGCATCTAATTCTAGAACATTCCATCACTGCCACAAGAAACATCACCTCTCTTTGCAGTCTGTGCATTGGCAAAGCTTTAGCATTTCCGGCCTGATGCTGAGCTTGAAAATTAAACTGGTTTTAAAGAAAGCAAGCAGCATGGGTTGGGTTAGTGCTAACTTTCCAACAAGGTCTACTCTTGTTCTGTTTTAATTCCCTTGAACAAGATCTCTGTCCATGATATTTTATAGAGTTTCGCCCTGTTATGGACGCTTAAGCAGAATGCCACATGGATAAGGATCAAAGTTTTGTGTCTGTCTGGCTTGGGGAGGGGCATAGAAAACAGAAGGTGGGGTTGCCTCCGGCAAAGAGAAACCCAGGACTCCTGTTGTGTGTGCTTTTTATTTCTGGGAATGCTTCCTGCTCCCCACCACCACCTTCCTTCTTCCTCTCTCCACTTGACCTACGGAGAATCATGAGCACACTTCATTGTAAGAAAATGCCATTTGCCAAGTCCTCCTTTATATAGCAGAGCCAAGGAAGAACTGTAAGCTAACATAGATAGCTTGATACCTTTTTTAGTGAGGCAGTCTCAGCATCTTGCATCCTCTGCATCTGGGTCACAACTGCAGCCTGCACTTCCCTCTTCCCAGCATTTTTGTTGCCCTGCCTCTACTTCCTGCCTGGTCGCCCCACCTATACTTCCTGCCTGGCTACTGGCCAATCAGTATTTTATTAACAACAATACAAGTGACAGAATAAAAGACCATTGTCTCACAGCACTCCCCCACTTTTTTTGTTCAAAACAAGAACTCTGAATTGAATCTCTCTTGTTTAGCTTTTTTTTTTTTTGACCATTATCCATAATAACTAGTAACCAACATCCTAAACAAAGAAAAATACTCATAGTCCATTTTTTGGGAAAGTGGGCTGATAATTTTATGGGGACTTAAAGAATATTTAGAATTATGATCAAGTCATGACTGGAGTATCCTGTGAGGCTTGATCATCTCAAGCAGCAGTCTTGAATCTGTTCTGGATATAGAACTCAGATATCCACTCCTATTGGAGATTTCTCAGGGGGGGTCTTCCTTGATCAAACCTGATTTTTCTTAACCCAGAATGAATCCACAGCCTCTCATTTTCTGTGGAAACAAAAGTAAAACCTCTTCTCCAAAGTAACATACCTTTTGACTTCAATTTTGAAGTCAAGGTATTTTTAAAATACCTATCTTGGATTAATTTAGCAGCATTTATAAACAAATATCTTTTAGTGGCTGTTGCTCCTTCCTCAGCATTCAAACAATTCAAAGAGAGTGTAATAACATACAGTATCCAGATTCTCTGTGTGTTTTTCATCTTTTTGTGGCTTTATTTTAAGCTCTATTTCTTTTATTTTTAAGTTTTGACTTTTTGAGACAGGATTTGTTGTGTATCTTTGGCTGTTCTGAAATTTACTCTGTAGACCAGGTTGTTCTTGAACTCACAGAGATCCACCTGCTTCTGCCTCCCAAGAGCTGGAATTAAAGGTGTGTGCCACCATATCTAACAACTCTCTTTTTTTATTTTAAGGACATTTATCTTTTTTTATTTCCCAAGCCTATATATATTTTTAAATACACTCTAAACAGTTTAGAGGGTTTTTTTTTTATTTGAATCTGTCTTTACTAGCTCTCTATTTTTTTTTAACCATACAAGTCTTTAATTTGGTAAGCAATATGGTTAGGATTAAAGTCTTGGCTGTGACAGCTGGATCGAGCCTATTCCTTAGCTTTTTGAAATTTTAACTTCACGATGGAGGTACCAGCCAGAGCCATGTTTATTGTCGCAACTCTATAGCGTTTTAAGGACCCTGTCGCCACCAAAAAGCATGTAGTAGCTTTTTATTAACACCACTTAAGTATTTCGTGGCAGGACCTCTTAAAAGAGCTTCAATGTTTTGCAGCTCAAGCTGAATCAGGAGGCCTCTCTTAAATGAGAGTGCTTGCCTCTAGCAACAAGAGCCCACCCGAGAAAGTGCTGCTATCTAGAAGTTGTGTGTTTAACTCTTTTTTTTTCTGTCCAGAATTATTTTTTAAACTCTTTTAGGTTTTATGTGGATGCAGTTGTCCCACTTTGAGTGCCATTCTGTTCACTGATTTTTCTGTCCTGCCCAGTTCCTGAAGTCATTAAGTCCCAAAGAAATCACACAGGGGTCTACATTAATTATAAACTGATTGGCCTAGTATCTCAGGCTTCTTATTAACTCTTATAACTTTTACTAGTCCATCATTTTTGTCTGTGTTAGCCACGTGTCTTGGTACCTTTTTTAGTGAGGCAGTCTCAGCATCTTGCATCTTCTGCATCTGGGTCATGACTGCAGACTGCGTTTCCCCGTTTCCAGCATTTTTGTTGCCCCGCCTCTACTTCCTGCCTGGTCACCCCACCTATCTTCCTGCCTGGCTACTGGCCAATCAGCATTTTATTAAAAATAATACAAGTGACAAGATAAAAGACCATTGTCCCACAGCAGGCCTGTGTGAGAACAAGGAGAGGACTGTTCAGTTGATACTCATGATTGTAGGTATTTGGACAAAAACAGGCTCTAAAATAATAAAATTTAAACAAAAACATTCATTTATATTTGATTAATTCAGCATGTATCACATACACAAAGTAGAAAGGCTACTGTATTTCTGTATTTTTACTTTGTTTTTCATTTGTATTTGTGTGTTGGGGTTGTGGGTGCACAAGAGGATAGAGTTCAGCAGTCAGTACCAAGTGTCTTCCTCAATCCCTTTCTAATCTTAGGATTTTTTTAAATTTATTTTTTATTTTAATGTGTGTGTATGTAGGCGCCTTCTGAGGTTAGTGATGTGAGATTCCCCTTAGAGTGGAATTCCAAGCAGTTGTGAGCCACCCCATGTGGGTGCTAGGAACCAAACTCTGGTCCCTTGCAAGAGCAGTGTGTGCTCTTAACTGCTGAGCAGTTCCAGCCTCCCTACCTTGTGTTTTTGAGACAGTGTCTCAAGGGAACCTTGTCATCGAGTCACAGGAATCCTCATGTCTCCACCTCCCCAGTGCTGGGATTACAGGCGTGTGTAGCTGGACATGGAGTTTACGTTTTTGGGTACATTCACATGTGGAGGTCAAAGACAACTTTGTGGAGCCTTTTCTCTCCTTCTCCCTTTACAGGGCTTCCAGGACCAAACTCAGGTTGTCAGATCCACGCAGCAAGCTCCCTCACCCCCTAAGCTATCTTGCCTGCTAGTGTGAGAGCTAGGAATGGAACTCAAATCTTCACACTAGAGCAGCAAGCCCTTTGCCAGCCGAGTTATCTTCACAAACTTTACTTTCTTTAATTTTTGAAATGGGAAAAAAGTCTTCATATTAACTAAATGCAAATGAGCTGTCTGGATAATGATTTTTTAAAATTAATTAATTAATTTATTATATATACAATAGTCTGTCTGTGTGTATGACTACAGTCCAGAAGAGGGCACCAGACTTCATTATAGATGGTTGTGAGCCACCATATGGTTGCTGGGAATTGAACTCAGGACCTTTGGAAGAGCAGGCAATGCTCTTAACCGCTGAGCCATCTCTCCAGCCCCTGGATAATGATTTAAGAGAAAGACTCACCAATTCAGGCCATGTTTAAGGAGCAACTACTGCATACCAGGCAAGGTCCTTGCTGACAAAGACAGAATGATGGAGAGAAATGGGCCCTTCTACCAGGGAGCTGAAAACCCACAGGAGGAGAGCTGCCAGCAGACAGCTGGATGGTCGCAGCTGCCGCTTCCGCTTCCGTCACTGATGAGGCTAAAGGGCAGAAGATGCTCTGAGAGTCAAGGCAGGAGGTTGTTTGCTTAGGGTCTCAGATCAGGCTGGTCTCCAACTCACAGTGATCCCCCTGCCTCTGTCTCAAAGTCTGGGCTACTGACTTCAGTATAAGAGACTTTTTACTTAATGCAGGATAACCTGAAACACAAGTAAAACTTACTGAGCATTGGATGGAGAGATGGTCAGCAGCTAAGAGGTTTGCTGCTCTTCAGAGGACCAGGGTCTGAGTCCCAGCATCCAGATGGTGGCTCACAGCCGTCTGTAACTCCAGTTCCAGGGGTTCTGAGGCAGTGAGGACTGTCTCAGAGCCCTGGCACCAACACACCCACGCAAGGGAACCCAGGACACTGAGCCCTGTCACACCTTTTTTTTTTTTTGGTAGAAGGATTAAATGAAACAAAGCAACACACACACACACACACACACACACACACACACAAATAGGATCTCACAACAGAACTCGGAGATCTGCCTGCCTCTGTCTCCCAGTGCTAGTATTAAAGACAGGTGTCACCACACCTGGCTAATCCAAACCCATGCCAGACTGTGGTTGGTGTGTGTGTGAGGGGAAGAATGCACATATGTGTGTGTGTGCATACGCATGGGTGCATGGGGAAGCCAGAGAGCAACCTCAGCTGTTGTCTTTAAAATGCCACCCACCATGTTCCCTCGAGACAGGGTTTCTCGCTGGCCTGAAATTCCTCAAGCGGGCCAGGCTGGCCGTCCAGTGAGTCCCACAATCCACCTGTTTCCACTTCTCAACACTGCAGCCTCAAACCAACACCACCCGGCTCTATTGTTATGTGGTTTCTGCAGATCAGAGTCAGGGTCCTTAAGACCCCAAGGCAAACATTTAACCCGATGCGTCTGTCTCCCCACCACAGTTAAATATTTGTTGGTTGAGCTGTTTATAGTAGACCAGAACAAGTGAGACGTAGTGTCGTACTCTGGTTCTGGATAGGAGGGAGGATGGGGTGGGAGCGCGGTTTGAACTCGTGGGCTTAAAACCCGTTCCGGATAGGAGGGAGGACGGGGTGGGAGCGTGGTTTGAAACCCGCTCTTGGGCAACAGAAGTAAAAACCCCAGCAGCACTGTCACCGCCTGGTCCCAGGGACGGAAAGCATTAGCGTCTGCAGACAGCGAGCGTCGCAGACTCCCAGAGCCTTGGACCTGAGATAGCACATCCTTCTCTTCCTGTACAGGGAAACTCTTCCTGCTGGAGTCTCAGAACGGCTCTCAGGGCCTGGACCTGGAGGCAGCTCGGCTCTCCTGCAGGAGCAGGGGTGCCCACCTGGTGTCTGCTGGGGAGCTGAAGAGGGTGGTCCAAGACTGTGCCTTCGCAGTGTGCACGACAGGCTGGCTGGCTGACGGCACCCTTGGGTAAGTCAGGATAGCCAGGGAAGCATTCTTTTCCAACCACCTCAGCTGCGCTACCTAGGTGTATATGGGGCTCAACGATTGTCCTGCAGGAGTCAGAGGACAACTCTTCAAAGTCAGTTCTCACTTTCCTCTCTGTCCAAGTAGGGTCCCTCTTGCTTCTTCTGCTCTGCCTAAAGCTGCCGGTGCAGACTCCGGCTGTTTCTCCCGTCTCTGCTCCCATCTTGCTATAGGAATGTTAGGATCACAGATGCATGCCCCCATAGCCAACTTTTTACATGGGATAATTATAGTTTGAATCTAAAACACTCCCCACGGGCTCTTGTTTTGAATGCTTGTCCCCAGAAAGTGACACTATTTGTAGGGAGGGTCCTGTGGGACATTTTTGATGTGGGGTCAAGCTGGTCAAGCAGGTCCCTGGGAGCTGGCCTCTGAAGATTGCTCACACAGCCTGATTCCTGTCACTTTTTGGATTCCCGTCTTCAGTCAGGTGAGCAACCTCTGGCACCACGGACTGGGTAGTTCCTGCTGCCACACTGCTCCAGCTTTGGGGACTGAAATCTCGGAAACCGTGAGCCAGAATGAGCTGCTCCTGCCTTGAGCGGCTGCTCTCGGGTGTTTTGCAACTGTTCAAAAGTAACAAATACAGACGAGATGCCTATCCTCGATGAAGGCTACGGCCTCACGCAGGCCCTTGCCAAACGGCCACTGCTTCCAGCATCCCCCACCCCACTCCACCTCCAACACCCCCCCACTCCCGCCCCCCCCCCCGTGGGGGTTTCATCAGCCTGTGAGTTGCCCCTGCCCAGGTGCTAGAGTCTACAGAGCAGTCCTCCCTGTTGTGAGCTGAGCTCCTAACCCAGCGAATGCTTTGGAGAAGCAAGTCTTACGATGAGCTGGAGAAAACGTCCCAACAGGGTTTGCACCTGTTCTTTGGGTTTCAAAGATTAGAGTAGAATTTTAGGCCTCCAGGTGTCTGGAAGAATCCATAAGAATTCACTTTTAAGAAAGATAATTCTACCCTAGTCCTTGATTTTACTCCAACGATTTTTGTTAGCAGAGTATTTCACACACAATATAAAATAGCCAGTCACACTAGGAGATTAATAATGAGTAAAATTCAGGAGACACACCAGCTAAATGAAATTCTATGTATCACCCTGGTAGATATTGACTTTCAGATGACAACCCTTCAGGCTTGAGAAATGGCACAGCTTTTAAGCACACTGGCTACCTTTCTATAGGACCTGGGTTTGATTCCCAGCATGTCCGTGGCAGCTCACAACCATCTATAACTTCAGTCCAGGAGATCCAGCACCCTCTTCTGAACTCCTCAGTCACGAGGCACCCTCATGGTACACAGACATACATGCAGGCAAAACACCCATACACATAAAATAAAAATGATTTTAAAAAAAAGATGACAATCCTTAAAATTTTTCAAAACTATAAAAGACAAGAATTTTAACAGAATGAGAAACTATAAAAATAGCCAAATGGAAATATTTTAGAAATGAAAAACAATAGTAACTAAAATTAAGAATTTAATGGATGGATCTAATAGCTGACTGAAACGAGCCAAAGAAAGAATTCGTAAGCTGGAAGCTATTTTGGAGGGAGATAGGCTGAACAAAGAAAAAAAAAGAATTAAAAAAAAAGTAGAGAAAATGGTAAAGATGATGAAACTGTATGCAATTAGAACTCTAAAAGGAAAAAAGAGGGGGCTGGAGAGGTCGGTGGTTGGGAAGTTCCATGTCAGAGGCTATTGCTCTCCCAGCACCCACATAGAGAGTCTGTGCACGGAGGCTGCTCTCCGTGTGAAGTTGAGCTGAGGGGTGCTGGTCTGGGGAGACTGTCGCTCTCCCAGCACCCACACAGAGAGTCTGGGCCTGGAGGCTGCTCTCCGTGTGTAGTCCAGGCTGAGGGGCGCTGGTTTGGGGCCTCTCTACACGAGCGTAGGTAACACAGAGGGCATACCCACAGTGATATCAGATGGTCCCTTCTCAGGCAGATTATGGAGCCTGTCTGCTCCAGCTTGGTGAACTCCACTTCCTCTTCACCTGGCAGATAGCTCCCTTGTTCTTCCTCCTTTAGCCCTACCTCAATTTCTGTCTTACCTCAGTTCCCTGCACCGCCCCTTCCCCTGCCGCCCAGGCTCGTGGGTGCAGGCACCAGGATCCCATCCTTGCCACAGGTTTCTGCAGACCTCTGAGACATGCTGGACGAGGTGATTCAGGAAATAAGTGCACCTTCCTCTTCCCACCCATAGGCCACTCCTCCCAGCTCTTCACCCAGCCACCCAGGCAGACCCCCTGTCTTCTGAACCACAGAATCTGGGTTTTAGGGGATCTCCCATTAAAGGCTTTAGAAGGAAATGCTAAGCTTGAAAACCTTGCCAAGGAGCCATGGCTCTTGGAGAGGCTTTCTGAATATTTGAGTAAAAAGAACCACCAACCTAGTGAGGTGCCTCAGCGGGACTCAGAACTTCTGAAGGAAGGGAAAACCCAAGAGTCGGTGTCTCTTGGAAGACCTTTTCCCTCCCAAGAAGATAGTTGTTCCTCCAGCAGGGGTCAGAAAAGGAAGGGCCTGGACAAGACAGCAGTGGTGTCTTGGCTGACGCTCGCTACTCAAAGGGAATCGATTCTGTTGAATTGATTCTGGTCCATGTGCCAGAGGAATTCTAGATGGCCTTCCATCTAGAATTCCGTTAAGCACCACCCAACCTGGTCCCAGAATAAAGGCCCCCGGGAGAAGCTCCCTCAGGAAAAAGTCCCCTCAGATGAAGTCTCCTCAGAAAAAGTTGAACCCTCAAACCACCCCCAAGCCTTCTCAGAACACCCTAGGAAAAGACCCCCCCCACAGGAGAACTCCCCTGGAAACAGCTCTCTCTGAAGAATGTCACATAGAAACACACCCTCTCCCGCTTAGACAGCAAGCACTCTAGGACATTCCAGAACTTACTAGGGAAGATGGCGGTGACTGACCGTGACGTCAGTGGACGCTGGTCCCAAGAGGGCATACGAACCCCTTAGCTCAGTGTGGCCCTGTCAGCTGTAATGGAGACATGCTTTAAGACAAGCGCTGCCTTCACCTTGCTGAGATGCGGACTGCTGACAGTGTGGACTTCCCTCGAGCACATGGTGAAGGCTGCTTACGCAGCCAGATCTATAAGATATGTCCAGGGAAGACGGGAGTGAAGCGTGGACAAGTACGGTGACTTTTCCCTCGCGTCCCTTGCTGGAGATATCCCCACTTGCCCTCACCCTCAGCCAGAAGGTCACAGCTTAGAGAATGCCACCATGCCTCTGAAGTGTCTCGCTAAGGATGCTGTTGGGCTGTGACATCCAGTTTGGAAAAGTCAGCTATTCTTCTGCAGAAGATGCCCTGGTTACCATGGTGACAAGGGACTTTATGCAAATCAGGCTTTTGACTTTCAGCAGGCAGGGCATGATGAGAAATGTTTCCACATCGCCTCACCGCTAGAATGACCATCTGTCTTTTAGGAGAGGAGGTAGTAGAGAGTACTGTGTTACCCAAGCTGGTCTCAAACTCTTTATTTCAAGTGATCCTCCTGCCTCAGTTTGCCAAGTAGTCGATGATACAGTTGTGTGCCATTATGCAAGATACATGCTATTTTATGTCTTTTGTTCTCAAATAATCTGCTAATTTTTTAAGCCTTTTGGCTGCAATTGCTTGTCTAGAGTGATAGATTTGCTGGATTTAGGTTCCGCTTTGCAAGCTAAAAAATTCCATATAATTTTAGTCGACTTTCTAGTCTTTTAGATTTCCCTGAGCCTGGAGTTACAGGCGGTTGTGAGCCCCCATACCCGGTGCTGGGAACCAAACCCAGGTTCTCTGCGAGAGCAAGCGTTCCACTGCCGAGCCTTCTCTCCAGCCCTTCTATAGAACTCAAATGAGGACTGGGGAGATGCTTAGCAGGTAAAGACCTACGATTAAGGTTGAGGACCTAAGTTCAGCACCTGGGACCTGCATGGTGGACAATCTTCATACACACATGATCTTTATACACGTATTACCAAAGTAAACACTCAAAATGTAAAAATATTCTCAAGTGACTCCTTGGATGAATTTTTTTCACAGTGAGGGGGTGAAAAGGTGTTGCCTCTGAGTTAACCCGGTCATCACCTGTCTTCCAAATGTGACTGACCTCTGTCTGAGGAGAATGTTTCTATGTCCAAAGGTCATGAGGCACCCAAATCTCTGCTGACTCAGACCTGACAGCAGAAATGAATTCTTTCCAGTCTGAAGACGGTCCTAACTCAGGGTCCTTCCTTGTGTGTGCAGGACAACCGTGTGCAGCAAAGGGGGCGGTGAAGAGCCAATCGCGAGAGCTGTCGACGTGAGAATTGACAGCCACCCTGTTCCCGGTGCCAAGTACAACGCCCTTTGTATTAAGGATGAAGGTCAGTCTTTGTAAGGGTCCGGGAGGGTGTGAGTGGCTGCTACTGTCTATGTGAACACACTGGGGCAACCTGTCTCTGAGCATGCTTCGCTGATTCTTCCCAGGGTGAATAGAGGGGTGGCTTGGAAGCTAAGATCACTAACTGCTCTTCCCAAGGAACTTCGGTTCCCACCACCTATGCTGGGCACTTGCCTGTCACTCCAGCTCCAGGGATTCCAATAACCTTGTCTTTGTGGGCATTAGCAATCATATGTGTGTGCGCACACACACACACACACATACAATTTAAAAAAAATAAAACAAATGTTTAAAAAAAATACAAGTTTAGAAGGAGACTAACTAGGAAAGCAGATAAGGCAGTGAGAACCTGGACAGGAAAGTGAAAATGGCCAAGCCATGGTACAAGATTCAGCAGAGTTCACGGAGGTGCTGAGGGAGCCAGTGTCTCAGAGAACCTCTGGAGGTGGTGTGCATGTATCACAAACCTCTGGAGGCAGCGTGCATGTATCCAGAATCTCTGGAAACGGTGTGCATGGGACAGCGTGCATGTATTGATAATCTCTGGAGGCAAAATATACAAAGAACTCAAGAAATTAGTCGTCAAACGAACAAATAATCCAATAAAAAATGGGGTACAGACCTAAACAGAGAATTCTCAACAGAGGAATCTAAAATGGCTGAAAGACATTTAAGGAAATGCTCAACATCCTTAGCCATCAGAGAACTGCAAATCAAAACAACTCTGAGATTCCATCTTACACCTGTGAAAATGGCCAAGATCAAAAACACTGATGACAACTTATGTTACTGGTGGGAATGCAAGCTGGTACAACCCTTTTGGATGTCAGTGTGGCGATTTCTCAGAAAATTAGGAAACAACCTCCTCAAGACCCGTAATACCACTTTTGAGTATATATCTGAAGGATGCTCAATGGTGCCACAAGGACGAGTGCTCAACTATGTTCACAGCAGCGTTGTTTGTCATAGCCAGAACTTAAAGGTCCCTCAACTGAAGAATGGATAAGGAAAATGTGGTACATTTACACAATGGAGTACTACACAGCAGAAAAAAATAATGACATCTTGAAATTTGCAGGCAAATGGATGGAACTAGAAAACATCATATTGAGTGAGGTAACCCAGACCCAGAAAGACAAATATCATATGTACTCACTCATAAAACTCATGTTTTTTAAACATAAACCAAAGAAAACCAGCCTACAAATCACAATCCCAGAGAACCGAGACAACAACAAAGACTCTAAGAGAGACATACACGGATCTAATCTACATGGGAAGTAGAAAAAGGCAAGATCTCCTGAGTAAATTGGGAGCATGGGGACCTCGGGAGAGAAGGGGAGGGGAAAGGCAGGAAGGGGAGCAGAGAAAATTGTAGAGCTCAATAAAAATCAATTAAAAAATCTCTGGAGGCGGTGTGCATGTATTGAGAACCTCTGGAGATGGTATGTGTGTATCTAGAACCTCAGGAGGCAGTGTACATGTATTGAGAACCTCGGGAGATGGTGCGCATGTATAGTTACTGTCTCGTTGCTATAACAAAAGGTGACATAAGGGAGTAGGTGTTTACTTTGGTTCTCAGTTTGAGGGTGGAGTCTATCATGCTGCAGAAGCTTAAGAGCACAGTAGGCAGTGTGTCCACATCTGGGAAGCGGAGAGAGACAATGCTGCTGGCCATCAGACCTTTCTTTTCCCTGAGGGTGTGGGATGGCACCACCCACTCTGAGGACAAGTTCTCCTTTCTCAGTTAAGCACATTCACAGACACACCTGGAGCTGTCTCCTATGTGGTTCTAAATCCAGCTAAGTTGATAATGAAGATTAATCCTCACAATACATAATTATGATTTTCCTGATTGGGGTGAGGGAGCTGGGATAGATATACCACTATAGCTGTCAATCATTGCTCAAGAAATTTATCAGAAAATATTGACTTGGGCTGGAGAGATGGCTCAGTGGTTAAGAGCACTGACTGCTCTTCCAGAGGTCCTGAGTTCAATTCCCAGTAACCACATGGTGGCTCACAACCACATATAATGAGATTTGGTGCCCTCTTCTGGCCTACAGGCAGGATATTGTATAAATAAATAAATAAATAAATAAATAAATAAATAAATAAATAAATAAATCTTTAAAAAAAGAAAAAGAAAATATTGACTTCTGGGGGTTTTGTTTGCCTGGGTACAAGTGGCACCATCTCACAAAGAGGGTCAGGTGCCCACCAGGAGCCCTGTGCTTGGAAAGATCCAGCTCTCTGGGGGAATAAGAACAGAGCCCTGGGCTGGACAGTAATGGTTTATGCCTTTGATCCCAGCACTTGGGAGGCAGAGGCAGGTGGATCTCTGTGAGTTCAAGGCCGGCCTGGTCTACAGAGTGAGTTCCAGGACAGCCAGAGCTACACAGAGAAACCCTGCCTTGAGCAAACAAACAAAAAAGAACAGAACCCTGTCCTTGCCCACTTCAGATCCTGATGGCTGCGGCTCAGGCTTTCGTCTCTCTTCCTAGTGAGGACCATACTTAAAAATAATTCCTTTCCTAGCTGGGGAATTGGCTCAGAGGTTAAAAGCACTTACTGCTCTTGCAGAGGACACAGGTTTGATTCCCAGCATCCACATGGAGGCTTGTGACTGTCTATAATGCCAGTCGCAGGGGATCAGGCATCCTTTTCTGATTTTTGAGGATTCTGGGAACACATATGGTGCATATACATACATACACGCAAAGCACTCATGCACATTCATCAGTGACATGCCCGCCTTCCAGTGTGAGCACTCAGCTAGGAAAGGGTCTGCATTTGCTGGGTTATATGGAAGGCTATCAGAGCCATCTCTCCATCGGCCCAATCAAATAACCAAGGCGCTCTCTCTCTCTGTCTCTCTCTCTGTCTCTCTCTCTTTCTCTCTCTGTTTCTCTGACAGCTGTGTAAGGAAATTCAAATGACCCTTTGGATCCCAAACCTCACCAGTGTCTGACCCCGAGGGAAACAGAACAAAGCCAGAACCTTGTCCCTCTAGTGATCTCAAGGGAACAGGTCTTCTTTAGCTTTTGTGACATTTTGCCACCCAAAGCAGAGTGACTTAAATGACAACTTGGTAGCCCCACAATCTGTGTGGCACTTGTGCTAATCCTGGCTAGGCTCATCTACAAATCTCTAGCCTGCTCATGGTTCAGAGGCAGCTTTGCTCCTGGGGAGCACAAGAGCTGCCATCTAGCTGCAATGGCAAACTTCCGGTTCAAAGGGAGTAAGTGACAGCAGTGACAGCAGGACACCTGACATCCTCCTTTGGCCTCCACACAAGTGTGCTCAGGCATGCACATCTGCACACACACAGAGATACACACAGATACCCTCCATGCATCACACATATACACCCCGACACAGAAATACATCACACACACAGATCCTCCCCCGCAGTTCCGCAATACACACAGACACACTCAGATACCCCACACACATATACATCACACACACAGACATTCAGCCCCTAGCACTGCACATATACACAGACACTCCCCCACAGACATACATCACACATACAGACACCCCAACACATACATACATCTCACACATACAGACATCTCTTCACACACAGAGACACCCCCTCACACACAGTGACATCACCCCCACAGTACCATACACACATAGAGATACACCATCAATTCCCCCCCTACAGGAACACACACACATACACACATTCCCCATACACACACTTAAAAAAATAATTAAAATGTAGAGAATTGGAAAACAGAGAAAGGTTAAGCAACCGCCCTGGATTAAATGAGATAAGAGACTTGATAATGAAATGCAGTCCTGAGTTGTTTCCTGGACTAGCAAAAAAGACAACTGTATTTGCTCATGTTTGAATATGGATCGTGAATTGCAGAGCTTGATACTGATGCCGAGACATCATGATTTTGATAATTACTGCTGCTGTGCTAAGAGAACATCCTTGCATTTAGGAAATGCACAGACAAGTCTCTTAGGGGGTGAAGGGCATCGTGTCTACAACCTACTCTAAAGTGGATCAGAGAAGTGTGTGTGTGTGTGTACCGGGGTTACTTGCCGGAGCGTGATGACTCAAGAGCAGCCACCGTGTAGAAAGCTCACCCCGTCATGAGCATCCACAGGGAAAGCTACACTCATGCTGCTGTTCTCATAGCTGTCCCTGTGTCCTGCTGTCCTGCTGTCCTGCCTTAGATGGGGTGTGGAAGCCATTGCTCACAACCCTCCGTGTTTCGTGGTGAAGAAGAAGCCCTTCCCTTATGGGGACCTGCTGAACCTCCTTGGCGAAAGCAAACAGGCTGGTCAGAGGGTTCCTATGGACTTTCAAGCACGGCTCAGCTGAGCTTTCCTGGGATTTCTTATACATGCAGCAGTGTTAAGGGGACCTGAAGGCGGAGAGGCTTAGCTGGGCGGACCTAAGGGCAGGAGGGTAAGCCCGGCTCACAGGGTCTAAGGTTCCTACCAGTGCATAGGTGAGGCTCAACTCAGTGTCTCAGCGCTGTGCCCTCTTTCTACCCTCTCTCTGGGCAGCATGCCAGGTCTGTGTCACCCCGATGCTGCTCCCCTCGGGTAAGACCAGGGGAACGGAGAGTGCTGACTTCAAAACTGGCGGCCATGCGCCTACTAAAGATGGAAGCTCACACGCACACAGCCCTTCCTGCATGTCTTCTGTGCAGGAAGCACCGGCACAGACACGTCTTTTTCCTCTGGTGTTTTGTTTCCGAGGGTGAATTTCCAGCCCCGTGCTGATCTTACTTAAACTCGTAAGTGCACAGTTACTTTTACAGACAGGATGCTGAAGCCTCTTCCACTTGGATTTTCCCCCACTCTACTTGGGTAGATTCTCAGTGGGGACAGTAGCCCAAGGGTTGGAGGCTTCCAGCTCCCCCTCAATTCTGTCTGCCACACCCCCAGTCCACACATTGCTGCTGTTTCTGCCCCCCTGAGACATAGCTGGCCTCACTTCCCTCCTTTACAGCC